CTTGCACAATTTGATTAAAAGAAGATTTACCATGTTGTTGTTGAATAAAGGCAACTTTAGATCTCGAGTATACCAAACCCCAGTGACGTCTCTGACCGGTGACGTCTTTACGTAAATCAGTAATGTTGTACAGGCCGGGGTTTGTTCTGAGAGAGGCTGGTTCAAGGCGACCTAATTAAGCAAACTTCCTCAATTTAGCTTGTCCCAACCCACTTCAGCATCAGCAATACACACATGTTGATGATGCTAATAACCGCAGAACAATGCTAGCCCAAGCTACTGCTTACATCTTTGTCTGGTGAGAGGAAAACAACAAAGAAGAATGTTGGAGCACCCTTGGAACATTCCAGGATGGAACAGGAATATCCAGACTGTATGAATGCCAGATATATCCACAGTCTTCCTTTTTAGTTATCTTGCTACCGAGCACAGCTGTACACAGAGCTACTACCTTCAGGCAGTAATAGAGCTATCTGGGTAATCCGGCCAATCAACATGCAGCTCATTTAATATCCATGTCCTGGCCGAGTTGGTGGGACAAACCAATCTTCCCATTTGACGGTTTAACATTGGGATGTGTTTGGATGTTTATCAGGGCTCCTGCACCAGTTCCCAAAAAAAAAGGCTTGGAGAAAAGTTTCCGGCTGTAACAAAATGTTGTTCCAGAGCCTCTTTAAGTATTATTGTTAATCAATCAAATCAAAGATACTTTATTGATCCCAGAGGGAAAATTAGAGTTTCAGTACACACAATTCAGAGATCAGACATACATGGGCAAGACACATGACAAGAATTGGTGACTGTAGTCATTCGCAACCCTGAGTCGCGCTACCATAATAGAGATAAGAGGGTTACATGAGGATTGGTTCAGGTGGAGGGAAAAAAAAGCACTTCAGAGTTACCCTCCACCAGGAGGGCAGCTTTGCTCTGCAAAAAAAAAAACCACCTCAAACATACATGCGACAGACTTCAGACAACACAACATAAGTGTCCACTAGGTGGGGTGGTGGGTTGGGACTATCCCTGCTTCAGTTCCTGCAGCCACGATAGAAGCAGCGCATGTCACCTCAGTGTGGATAGGGGGAGGAGCATTGAGGGTTGGAGGGTTGCAGTGACCCTGTAACGTTTCAGCAGCCTTCCCGTAGTCCCGCCCAGGCTGGGGAAGGAGGCAGAGTTGAGTTGCCATAGCGACGGCACATTCCACATATCTTCTGAAGGGGGAGTTTTCGTTGTAGCCTTGCAGGCTCAAGGGCGCCAGATTCCGATTAGAAATTGTTTTGGGGCCAGACAGAGATAATTTCCTCTCTGTCTTACAGTTTGTTGGTCCTCAACCTCTCAAAATCCCAATAATGGACGTTAATCCATCCCAATCCGTGCTGATTCGTCCACTCTTTCCTTGATGGCATCCATCTTTTGTGCCAATAATGAATCTTGGCCAAAGTCCCAAGCTTACGATTCATCTCGACAATTATGTGAGTCTGTGAATTCACAGCACGGTGCAAACCATCTCTGAGCTCCGGGATCCGGCCAATATTCCTCGACAGCTCGTTAATTTTCCGGTAAGTCAGGTAGCCTCCAAGGCCGATCAGCAGAAAACCGGACACCAGCACCACGAATGTCCACACATCTTCAGAGTCCTCCACAGACAGCTGAGATAAACAAATCAAGTTCCACTGTTTCCAGGAGTCCATGATGTGTCCAACTGGGTCTGTCGCGGAGGGGCTTCCGGGAGCCCCTTCTCCCGTTCTTATCGCGTTGAGAGACCAACTGACGAGATCCATTTTAGTGAATTTCAGTTTCCAGTTTCCAGAAAAATGCAGAAGCAGCCGTGCACCCAGCACACACAGACAGACAAAGGGCCTTGAGGATAAGATATGGAGGAGAGGTGGAAAAAAGCGTCTGCACCCTCCAAGAGCCGGAAGAACGGGATTAATTACCTATGTTGTGTCATAAATAGTGTCCATTATTCCAAGCTGCATTCACAGATGGTGAATGATCTCATCCATTTTTATATTTGGAAGATCATGTGTGAAACTCTTTTTACATCCAAATGTAAAATGCAAATATATGCAGTGTTTGCATATATTTAAATTATCTTTCTGCATGAAGCTGACAATAAAGTGTGCTGCTGTGTTCTATAAAAAGCTGCTTGGATCTGAACGTTCGTAGCTGCAGCTTCTAACAGCCCGTTTAGGGTTCCAGCAGAGGCACGCTTCAAAAAATAAAAAACAAAGGAGCTCCTCTCAGAGCGAGATGACAGGAGAACGCTCCAGCACGTGGAGTGTTTTTCTAGCAGACATAATGAAAACATGTTTTTTAAACAAGTGTTATCTCCTCCTCAGCTGAGTGAAACCACTGGATGACACTTCCTGGATGCTCAAGTAGTCTCCAGCTTTTAATGTACATGAAGCTGTCAACACGATGACCACCATCACGGCTGCTGCTTTTGAAGATTAAACATGTGTGAACAAACGTCTAGCTCAGACGAATGCACCAAACACCAAAACCTCATGTTTTACTAGACTGGGAAGCAATTTAAGTCGTTATGGAGGACCGCTGGTTTCTGCAGACCTGTTACAAATCCTTTCATGATCCATCCATCCATCTTCTCGTCTTCATCTGCTCACGTTGGGTGGATGAGACTGAAGCAAAGCAGAAAGCAACCACAACCCCCAGGAGAAAATCATGTTCAAAATATTATTTCTTGAAAAAAATGCTAAATGATCCAAAAAAAAAACATAAAAAAATTTTAATAAACAGGAAGTTGTTTAAGCTCTAACATAACTTAATAAAAAAAACTGTAAGAAAATGTCCTCAAAACCCCTTTAAACTGCAGTTTTTTTTAGTTTTATAAACTTTATTTGTTTGAAGCTCTTATTGTGAAAGGTTGAAGGAAGTTGCTTAAACTGCTGTTGATGCTGCTACAGAACCCTCAGTGACTACTACTGAGACAAGACAGACAGACAGAAAAACAACGTTGCAACAGCAGATGACTGGGATGGAGGTTAAAGGTCGTGGGAGGAGACTGTGGGCATCCCGAGGCCAAACGGGAGCAACATTGCTGCTTGTTAGCAAACGATCCAGCATTTCATCTTTTTGTTCCACTTTTGATCGTATTTGTGAGCCTAAACTCTAAAATGTCAGCAGCATCTTTAGCTATGGCTGCAGCTTCAAAGGAGATGAATGTGTAACTTCATCCAAATCGCTGCTTTTAAAGTCGTTCCACAGGTTTTTTTCCAGTCAGATCCGGATGTCAGACTGGGAGTTTGGAGTGGGTAGAGAATCAGTTGGAGGTGCTCGTCACCCGGCAAGCCAGAGGTGAAACCAGCTTTGGGGGGTCTGGAGAATTCAGTGGACAGCTTTCAAAGAAGCGGATGAATCAGGCGGCACGTGTGTGAAACAAAATCGCATTTTCCACACGGCTACAAACAGAGCATAATTTGTCTCCCTCAGACATAATCCCTCCAGTTAATTCAGCGTTTCTCCTCATCCTGGTGGCGCAGCGCCCCGCCTCCACGAGCAGCAGGAGTCACAAAGTTGGGCTGTTGCGGCGAAGCTGAGTTTTAACTTTAACATATGTAACATGAGCCAGAGTCATCACTGTAGGTGTTTGTGGGCTCAGCGTGACAGGACGAGCTCATCTCCTCCTCCTGAATCCAATTCACCCTTTCCTCCACTTCTCCTTTCACACCTCAGCAAGCATTTTAATTAGCTTGCATCTCTCTCTCTCTCTCTCTCTCTCTCTCTCTCTCTCTCTCTCTCTCTCTCTCTCTCTCTCTCTCTCTCTCTCTCTGTCTCTCTCTGTCTCTCTCTCTCTCTCTCTCTCTCTGTCTCTCTCTGTCTCTCTCTCTCTCTCTCTCTCTCTCTCTCTCTCTCTCTCTCTCTCTGTCTCTCTCTGTCTCACTCTCTCGCTCTCTCTCTTGCTCCCTCTCTCTCTCTCTCTCGCTCTCTCTCTCTCTCTCTCTCTCTCTCTCTCTCTCTCTCTCGCTCTCGCTCTCTCTCTTGCTCCCTCTCTCTCTCTCTCTCACTCTCTCTCTCTCTCTCTCTCTCTCTCTCTCTCTCGCTCCCTCTCTCTCTCTCTCTCTCTCGCTCTCTCTCTCTCTCTCTCGCTCTCTCTCTTGCTCCCTCTCTCTCTCTCTCGCTCTCTCTTTCTCTCTCTCTCTCTCTCTCTCTCTCTCGCTCTCTCTCTCGCTCCCTCTCTCTCTCTCTCTCTCTCTCTCTCTCTCTCTCTCTCTCTCTCTCTCTCTCTCTGATAACACATCCTAATTTCCTTGCATTTCTCTGTCTCACTCATTCACTCTCATTACAGTCATCTCTCAGTGTAATTAATGAGCTGATATCTGCTTTCATGTTACAAGGGTCACAAGCAGTGTGTGTGTGTGTGTGTGTGTGTGTGTGTGTGTGTGTGTGTGTGTGTGTGTGTGTGTGTGTGTGTGTGTGTGTGTGTGTGTTACATATGAGTCATCAAGCACTCTATTTAACTGTTTCTCGGTCTTTGTGCTCCTTCCTCCGGCCTCATATGCAGCGGAATAGACAATTAGGAATTGTGTGACCTCCGATGCAGATGCTGGTAACAATACAGAGTAATGAAGCGCGTGTGTAGAGAAAAAAGCCGGGGCAGTGGAAAGATGTTCTAAACTCTGACAAAAGAACAAACATTGTTACTAATAATTCAGCTTTAATCACACCAGCAGTGGCGTCGGTTCCCTGACGACGTTTCATTTCTGCCCCTACTTGAGTGTTCAAGTGTTGTGGAAAAACTTGACTTCATTCTTTTCGGTGATATAATTAACGTCTTCCAGGACTGATGAGCTAATAGCTAGTCAGAGCACAGCCTTGACTTAAGTCTGTTGTTGCCAGCTGAAAGACAACTCAACGCAATCTGACCGAATGCAGCTGCCTGTTAGATTTGAAGGCATCCCTTCTCTTTTCCTTCCCTTTAAAATACTGTTGTACAGAAACAAAGAAGGCTAATGGCTGCCCCTCTCTCTTCTGTGCAGGTGTTGCATCCAGGTGAGGATGGGAACCATGGAGAGGTTGTTGCTGTGTGTGATGCTGGCAGTGGCCATGGCCGTGAGGGCACAGGTCTGCCCAAAGCGCTGCGTCTGTCAGATTCTGTCACCCAACCTGGCAACCCTCTGTGCAAAGAAGGGTCTGCTGTTTGTTCCCCCCAATATTGACAGACACACAGTGGAGCTTCGGCTGGCTGACAACTTTGTCACGAGGTAAAGGTTAATTACTATAAAATCCTGTTTGCATTTCAGGTTTAGGCCCCACCCTCTGACACCTGACACGTTACATGGAGCTAAAAACATCCCACTGGAGAAAACGATGGCGACAGCGTGGAGTAAAAGCTCACTTTAACAGCTTACTGGGACATTTTAGCCAGAATTTGTTTCTAGTCATGCTATGAAGTGATGATGCAAATTTCAGCACAAACACGCAAATGTTGCCGTTAATCTACAAAACAGTTTAATTTTGCTCTCTTTGTGTTTGTAACTTGGCTTCCATCTCCTCCTAAAGCTGTCTGGCCCACAGAAACTAAAGTGAGGCGGGATCCAGGCTCTGGGTGCATTTTTAAGCATTTAAGAGCAAGGCCTTGACAACATTTTGACATTTTGGAAACTTATTAGGTGACAAGATTAAAATTTTTCTCTCACATTATGTAGAGAGAAGGTTAGCTCACATTTTTCAGTGTCTGACACTAAAGGGCTAATTGCAAGACACGTGATCAGATCAATCAATCAAACAATCAAAGATACTTTATTAATCCCAGAGGGAAATTAGAGTTTCAGTACACACGATTCAGAGATCAGACATACAAGGGCAAGACACATGACGAGAATTAGTGACTGTGGTCATTCGCAACCCTGAGTCGCTCTACCTTAATAGAGATCAGAGGGTTACATGAGGATTGGTTCAGGTGGAGGGAAAAAGGCTCTTCAGAGCTACACTCCACCAGGAGGGAAGCTTTGCTCTGCAAAAAAACACCTCAACAGATTTGCAACAGACTTCAGACAACACAACATATCATGAGACTCCAATAGGAAGGCGGGAGGTGGGGGGGGGCTGGGATCCTGTTTCCCCCAGCGAGAGCAGCCATCTGCGGCGCTCAGCCACTGTAGCCACAGGTGGGAGGGAGATCTTGGGAGCAGCGCAGAGCACATTGACTCCTGCAGGTTGATGACCTCGCCAGGCTGAAGTCCACCAATCCAAAGGCAGGGGGTGGGGGTCCGGTTTTCACAGCATCTGTCTGCATTCCTTCGTGGGGGGTTGTTCCTAGCCTCTCAAGGCTGCTAGTGTGTCAGATTCAGATAACAAGAATTTGTTTGGGTCAGGCTGAGATAATTTTCCTCTCTGCCTTCAGTCTTTAAACTGATCATTCCAGTCCTTCTGTGAAGCCGATTTTGGGTTTTAAACTTGTCCATACCGTCCAGTGACTCTCTCCGAGATGACATCCATTTTGCGCACTAATACCGGTATCGCAGCTAGAACATTGTCCAGCTTACGATTCACCTGGATCAACGTACCAGTCTGAGAAGTCTCCACATGGACGGTGCTTTCCGTGGGTGTGGGTCGCCCTCCAATCGCTCCCGTCTTCCCAAATTTCCAGAAAACCAGATATCCTCCCACTCTAAGGAGAAATCCAGTGATCATCAGGCCGAATATCCACACGTCCTCGACATCCTCAATGGACAGCTGAGAGAGGCATATGATCTTCCACTCCCTCCAGGAATCCAGCATATATCCCACCGGGTGTGTCCCCTGTGGACATGTGGGAGCCCCCTGCTCCGTTCTCATTGTTGAAAAAATCTTATAAATCGTGTTGAATGACCAATTCATCAAATCCATGGTTAAAAATAGGGTTTTTCAGAAGATATGCAGAGAAGCGCTCTGTGGGCAGACAGGACAAAGAGAAAGCGAAAAGAGAAGCGTCTGTACTCCTCGAGTGCCAGGAAGAAAAAAAATATATATCAGATATCTCTGATCGTGCCTAAAAAGCTAAATAATTCAGAAATAATTAAGAAAACAGTTCAGGTCATGTTCACTTATGTCCAGCTGGTTGAGTTTTTGCAACAATTATGCTAAAAAAAGATTAAGAATTTTTATTTTATTCTTATTTATTTATTTTCATTTTATTTTAACCCTTTGATGCATAATGGTCACTACAGTGGACAGGTACTCAAAATTCTTATTTATTTGTTTTTGCTATTAAGCTCAGCTGTTGAAGACTTTATTGCATTTGAGCCCCTCCATTTGGACTTCAGTAAGCCAAGCCAGCATATTTCATGCACAGAATGCACGCTGTACACTGAGGTGGACATGTAATAAATAATTTGTAAATTATAAAATTTTACAAAAAAATGTTTGTTGAAATTTGTTTCATTCACACCTAAAGACGAATGAAAAAAATTGTTAAAAAAATCATGGTTGAAGATTTCATAATTCATGCATCAAAGGGTTAATTTCTAGAAATCTTATCCAGACCCGTGTGCAGCTCTATGTAACCAAGAGTCGGGTCGCGGCCTGGACTTTGGGAACTCCTGATGTAAAGGATGGGGATGATTATGAATTAATTTGGCTGTTTCCTCTTTAGTTGTAACCTGACAACATAAAAGACAAACTAAACCTTTACTTCATCACTCAACTTGGCTCCAGTGGAATGAAGCCAAAGACCCAGGTTAGAAATGTTGGTGTCATAGCTGACCTGAGCTTCACTGGCTGTACCTAGATCAGCGTTTTATCTTCAAATGTTTCATGTCTGGACATGAAACCTCTGAGTCATGATATGACATGAATGAGTTTCTCTAGAGAAACTCATTCATGTGTTCATCAGCAGGCTGGACTATTGCAACGGTCTTTTATCTGGTCTTCCCTAAAAAAGCTGTGAAGCAACTGCAGCTGAACCAAGAGAGCCGAGCACATCACTCCTGTTCTTCAATCTCTACACTTGCTACAGTTAACTACAGAATTGATTTCAAAGTGCTTCTACTAGTTTGTAAGTCACAGCCAGAACAAATGTCTGATCTCCTTCCTGTAAATACGCCTGGAGGGCTCTGAGTGTCATGACGCATGCGTCTAACCCAAGACATGCAGAATCAACTCGACGAGCTGGTTGAGTTGAAGAAAAGTACTTTATTTGGAAACGGGAACAGAGGTAGCACTGGGAAGTCCAGTGGGAGTGAGCTGTACAGCTCTTGTCCATGTGGCGTTCGGGGTGAACGAGGGAGGCGGGGAAGCCGAGGTGAGCGCCGGGCAGAGGATGAGGGATCCGGGATGGGTGAGGTAGTGGAGAGGGTCCAGACAGGAATAACGGAGGAGGATGGAACGTGGTGCAGGTGATCCGGAGTTCAAGCGGTGAGGGTGAGGCAGGGTGTGTAGAGATCCTGAGGGAGGCAAACAAACACTAGACGTGAGGGCAATCCAAAAGCGTAATCCATAAACAGTCCAAGTTCAAAATCCAAATATTCCAAGACGAGTCAAAAGCGAACAAACAAGCAACGAGTACGAGTGGCTGCATGGACGTAATTTTTTTTGGGGGGGTGTTGTCCCCCCCACTTTTTCCAAAGTCAAGTTTTGACCCCTGCACTTTTTACCATCCAAAAACAATATTACTTTATATTAAATTGACACTGGTTGAGCTCTAGGACCAAGCGGAAAACAACCGTTTGTGTTGAAGCAGCAGTAATCGGAAGGTTGCAGGTTCGATCCCGGCTCTGGACAGAGAATTCTGCTGTTGTGTCCTTGGGCAAGACACTTAACCCACCTTGCCTGCTGGTGGTGGTCGGAGGGACCGGTGGCGCCCGTGCTCGGCAGCCTCGCCTCTGTCAGTGCGCCCAGGGCAGCTGACAGTGTGTGAATGAGTGTGTGAATGGATGAATGATACACTGTAGTGTAAAGCGCTTTGGAGTCCTTACTCTGAGAGGCGCTATACAAGTGCGGATCATTTATCATTCATAAGCCTGTCCCCCCCCCCCCTCTAAAGTGAAATTTACGTCCATGAGTGGCTGGGGCTACCTAAACTGGAGCAACCATCCGGCGTAGTGAGGTGTCTCCATCCTCCTTTTATGTCCGAGTTCCTGATTGGGAATCTTGTGCAGCTGCAGCCCCCTCCGCTCCTCGCCTGTGGGTAATCAGCTCAGAGGCGGTTAGATTGGAAGAGGAGCGCTCACCTCGGCTCGGGAACATGACACTGAGATCCCTAGGAAACAGTCAGCTGGTAGAACCTCAGGTCAGAACCAAACAGGGTGGAGCTGCTCAAACGTGCCCTGACCCTAGTAACTATTACATCAAAATGGAAAATGTTCATGTATTCATCAGCCTTTAAATGCACCTTCTGCACTGTAATTGCTCACCCTTTAACGTAGTCTTTTCTTCAGATTCTTGCCTTGCGCCGATAATGGTACACGGCGTGTTTGATCAGATCTACTTTTATTTTGTAGAACCATCCTGATTGGTCACACGGCACCCTCCTTGTTGAGGCTAACTTATGAAACAGACGTGAAGTGTGTTGTCCTCAAACGACTCAAACAAACTCTGACGTGTGTGAATAATTCTCATGACAGATTCAGTCTTAATGCGCAGCAATGATCAACGTTCCCTCAAAACCGGGAGCAAAGATGCTAATCCTTGATGTCAGGAGGTGACGGCGCCAAGAAGCTTCCGGTGAAAATGAATCAGAGGACAGATATTTGGACAGAGAACATTCAGACGTGTTATTGTCGCCGCTGGAATGAAATAAAGCCCATCTGATTACAAGAAACTTGTTTGCCTGAGAGAAAGTCAAGGTTGTTTTTTAGTCAGAGGAGCGGCTCAAAGCTTTTTTCTGGTTTGAGGATGTTGAAAAAAAATGATCTAAAAAGCTCTGAGAGTAAAAAAACACGTGTGTTTAAGCATGGATTCTATCTTAAAGTTATTTTATTTGATTTTTTTGACCAAGCAACATTAAAATCAGACGGAATCTTCAAGTATTTTTGAAAAGGTTCCTAAAATCATCGTCCCTCGTCAGTAAGGTGTCCCATCCTCACTTCCTGTTTAACTTGGGCTTATTTTGTGTCCACAGCGTGAAAAGGAAAGACTTTGCAAACATGACTCGGCTGGTGGACCTGACGTTATCCAGAAACACCATCTCTTACGTCACACCTTATGCCTTCGCTGACCTGGAAAATCTCAGAGCGCTTCACCTGAACAGGTACGCCCTCTCAGGTGGCGGGAACCCCTCCACCCCGGAACGTTTCATCAGACTTTTCTCTTTCCTTTGATCTCTCGCAGCAACCGGCTAACGAGAATAGGGAACGATACGTTCAGCGGGATGTCCAAGCTCCACCACCTGATTCTGAACAACAACCAGCTGGTTCTGATCCATCAGGGCGCGTTCAACGACCTGCTGGCGCTGGAAGAGCTGGACCTCAGCTACAACAACCTGGACTCGATTCCCTGGGAGGCCATTCAGGTCAGTGGTCATTTAGCTGCGTTCAGGCTTAAAAACATCAAATTTTCATGACAAGATGTTTAACTTCTGGGCTTGTAAATAAACTCACAGTCTTAGTTACGTTATTTTCATTCGTCAGTGGTTAAAGTTTTATTTCCTACCCCTAAAACTAAATAATTCCTTATTATTCCAACTATTGACCGCCATAATGGATCCTTTGTGAAAAGCAGAGCACAAGAAAAAGCTGGTTCCTGTTTTTCTTTATTTGTGCAGAAGATGATAAGCCTCCACACGCTGAGTTTAGACCACAACATGCTGGATTATATTCCAGAGGGAACCTTTTCCCTCCTGCAGAAACTCAACCGACTGGACGTCACCTCCAATAAACTTCAAAAGCTGCCACCAGACCCGCTCTTTCAGCGGGCGCAGGTAATCTCTGGAGAAGCTTCAAAACACACACCGCACTCCAGAATAACCAGGAACCCTCTGCTTACTCATGCCTCTAATATTTATTACTACTATTAAATGAATGGATGAACGAGATATTTTTGTGAATTTGGAGAAATTCTGCTCGTATTAGACCTGTTTTGCGTTATTCAGGGTCACACGCTTCTCTTTATTTGTTTGTGTTTTGAGCCATTTTTGTTTTGCTCGTTAGGTCCTACTAATCCCAAATAATCCCAAATAGTAATCCTGGATTTAAAATGCACATGAAACAAAAGCCCAGGTCTCAGGGGGTTACTGTTGTCACAGGCTTATTTAGTTGATGTCTTATGCCAGTTTATTAACATTTTGTGAAGTTGAAATGTTTTACTTCCCAACGTGTGAAAGATGAGACACTTAAATATAAAATAATAATAATAAAACATATTTTTGATGCACTTTTGGTAAACGAGCAGCACAGATTAGTTATGTGGAACACTCGTTTAATGAGGTGGTCTCTAGTAGGAGTGAAGGCCTTGTGAGTCATACTTTGGGGAAACAAAGCTCCAGTGCAACAGTTTCAGGAAGTAGAAGTGAGTCAGATCAGATCAGCTTCAGGCCAAGTCCCAATACTTGCACTTCACCTGACGGTCCTTAGCAAAGTGCACTTAGAGGAAGTGCACAATAAGGCTTTGATTTGTGCTGTCTGGTGGAGTTGCTAATGCTAACGGTTGGCTTCTACTAGCTGAGACGTTCTCTGCCGTTTCCTGGACGCTAAACCAACAACAGCCTTCCCCGTCGTGAGTCCAGATGGGTGAGCCCATGAATGTTAAGTGACAGGGTGACGTAGATCTGTCAGGCTTGTCTAATCCTAGATTTTCTATCAGAGAAGTCCAGTTACTTTTATTTGAACCCTTTTGGATTTCCAGCAGAAGCTGATGCAGCAGATAGGTGTAGGCGACTATTTTCATGTTCATCCTGAAAAACTCACAGTTACCCATTCTAATCAGAAATAATCATAAAAATGTGTTTTTTTCAGTGTCCCACACCTTTAAATCGACCCATCTTTATACAAATTTGAAAATAATTTATTTAATTATGGTAGACACATGATTTAGTCAAATGTTTTCTTTACTTTACCTGCAAATAATGTTTTTTTCTTTTTTGAATTGTATTTATTTACAGCTTCATGTCTTGGAAATGTCTGTTGCCCTTTTCCTTTCATTTGAAATAAAGACTAGCACTCATCACCGTGTCTAAAGGGAATCATTATCTTATTCTAAAACTGCTTTTCCTCTCCTCTTCTCTCAGGTGCTGGCGACATCAGGAGACCACACCCCCTCCACCTTTGCCCTGTCGTTTGGTGGAAACCCTCTGCACTGTAACTGTGAGCTACTCTGGCTGAGGAGGCTGAACCGGGAGGACGACCTGGAGACCTGCGCCACGCCTCAGCACCTCTCGGGTCGGTACTTCTGGTCCATCACCGAGGAGGAGTTCCTCTGTGAGCCCCCCCTCATCACCAGATACTCCCATGAGATGAGGGTCCTCGAGGGGCAGAGAGTCTCCCTCAGGTATTTGTTATCGTCCAAAAACACAGAAAAAGCCTTTTCAACTCCTTCTGAGGTAAATTATAAGTTGTTTTCATCATCCGACAATTCAATAAAGGAAAATAAAAATCCCCACTGCTTCTAAACATTCCATGAAAATGACAGGACTTCATCAGAACAACAAGTCTGGGAGATGATGATTGCTTCATTTGCATTTATATTGGTCACACGCTTCCAGTTCAGATAAATCTTATATATCCAAATATGGAGTTATGGAAATGAGGATGAAAAAATAAAACAACATCCAATTGTTCATTTTCCTTTATGGAATCTGGTCTTTGGCAACTTATTTTAAGTTTTGTTTTGTGTAAATCATAAGATGATAAACCCAGACATCATTTTTATGTATGGAACACGTGTGGTTTTATTTAGTTTATGGCTTCAGTTAAACACGTTTCTGAATTAGAGACAACTTTTTAAGATCCAATAGTTAATTTAAAATCTGCAGGACCGAGATGTTTAAAGGGGCATTATGGAAGTTTGACAGCCAAAACATGTATAGAAATAATAAATGTCTTCTTCATACATTCTCCTGCAATGCCCTGGTCCTGTAGAATGAGCCCTGGCATTTTTACTGAGATTGCCTGTTTTTCTGTAAAATCACAGAAAAAGAGAGCTGCTCGGGTCGAGCAGGCTGCTTCATGCGCGTTCACGCTCAGGCATCGCCCGTAGCATTTGCTATCCGTAGCTTTAGCAGCAGAGAGAGAGGCAGTGCCACTTTGTCGCTGTTCCTAACGCCTAGTGACAAAGCTAGCTACATTTCTGAGAACCCTTAGCTACTTTCTGTAGAACTTTCTTCTAGATATTTCCTGCAAATTAGCAACAAAATAGCCATTTTCACTCCGAACTGTTCTTTGGTTTGACGTTGTTTCAGCTGTCATCAAGGATATAAATGTTACAGATACAATGGACGTCATTGGTGCTTTAGCTCACCTAGTAAGATGTCTGACTCTCTTGTAGAAGACCTGGTTTCGATTCCGGGTGTGAATTAAGTTTGTTATTTGGAGTTTCTTTTTTACATTAATAGTATATTTTTTTTACAGTAATAAGACACCCAAATTTTTATCTGAGACTCGCCGAACGGCATTGAATTCACAGATAAAAAAGATGTGGGTTCAACTTTCATTTTGGAACAATTTTTCAAGCAAGGGAAGGGAATGATCTGAGCATGCAGGAGGACTGACCCATCATAAACCTTTGTCGGCTGTGCTGAAGAGAAAGGTACAGAACCAAATTATTTAATTAATTAGCTGCACGTTCTCCTGTCCTCTGTCCTCCGGGCCACACACACACACACACACACACACACACACACACACACACACACACACGGGACTGTCTCAGTTGTTATTTTTGTTAAGGAGCGTGCACGTACAGCATGTGCGCCTCGTGCACGAGCCTACTATTGAAGCTGCTGTTACGCTTTTGGCCTGAGGGGGCAATCGCGAGCATAAAAATTCAAAAGTCCGAAAAGTCCCTTTAAGTTAAAAAAAATGAGTAAATCTGAGATATGTGTTCAAATAAGCAGAGCCCAGAAGAAGCTCATGTCACAGTGTTTTATCTCAATTAACTGTTCTTCTCTTGATTAACACTAATACATCTAAATGCACTTTTCTGATAACATAATCACTGAAAATAAGGGTCACTGTGACCCAGAACACTTTGGCCTTTTATTTTTAAGTGTCTTGTATTTTTAGATTTTCATGTTCTGGCACAGATCCATCACACATCTGACATACGTTAATATTAATATATAATAGGTTTTCTTATTTGCATCATTTTGCCCGGTTCTTATAATTGGAATCAAAGAAATGTTGATTTTACATTTGAGATCTTCAGTTTTGGCCAGAATGCCATTCAAAGATTTTTACTTTCATTGTTTTCATGTCACCATAAATGACTTTCCAATATATTGTTCAATGTCTTCAACTTTTAGAAGCACGAATCTGGTGATGCCATATATTACAATACTAAAAGACTGAATTTAATGGGAAAGCTCAGGTCAGACGCTTCCAAGACACATCCGGTAGTATCACCAGATCCTGTTGTTCCCTCAGAATGAAGGCGCTGAAAAGTGCTGCCACCTAGCAGTCGGAGTTTGAATTGCACCACACAAAGGAAATAAGTGAATGTTTGCCTGTAAATTCTCAATAAACAATCAATGCACTGCTATCGTAACACAAAATATTGCATTATTTAAGTTTATCAATATTTTCTTAATTACTAACAGATATAATCTTGTGAAAATTTTAGGTTTTCTTTTTTAAGTAAAATTCTTCTACAGACTTTGGAAATTTGACTTGCTGCTGTTTCATCCCGTCTAATGTAGGCAGTTAATTTTGACTTTTGCGTTTTCTTCTATCAAGTGCAAATATATTCAAATGTAACCACAGCCATCTTGAAAGCATGCTAACTTATATTTTCATAACTTCTTTGGAATCATCATTTAAGATGATGCGAGAAACATCTGCTTTGAAGCAGGATCATTAAGTTGTTTTTCTTTACGTTTGCTTCCCAGAAGGTTATGTAAAGAAACCAGAAACCATCATAAACCTTTGTTTATTTATTTTTTTGTTGTTGCTCTCATTCTGTCGTGTTTTTAATGTTTCTTTTCACTTTTCCCTTTTGAAAGGTGTAAGGCCAGGGGTGATCCAGAACCGGCCATTCACTGGATCTCACCCGAAGGCAAACTGGTGTCCAACTCCTCTAGAACCTTGGTCTACAACAATGGGACCCTGGACATCCTCATCAGTACTGTGAAAGACATCGGTTCCTTCACCTGCATCTCATCCAACCCTGCTGGTGAAGCCCACCAAACTGTTGACTTGGTCATCATAAAACTCCCACACATTTCCAACAACACCAACAACATCCAGGAGCCTGACCCCGGATCGTCAGACATCTCTACGTCCATCCGAGGTGGCGCCAACGGGAGCAATGTCACTGGTGATGTGAAGGGTGGTGTCGATAAGAGGGTGGTGACGGCCGAGGCTACGTCATCGACCGCGCTGATCAAATTCAACTTCCAGAGGAATATTCCAGGAATCAGAATGTTCCAGATACAATACAATGGAAGCCAGGACGACTCGCTGGTCTACAGGTGAGATTAGCGTTGGAGGAATTCAGAAGGGAAAATATTTGATTAGAGGACCAGAATTGCTGATGTCACTGATATTTAACTCAGATTAATTTAGACACAACTTGCATAATCTGGTGGAAAACGTGATGAATTGTAACAAAATCCAGTTAAAACAAGACGGAAAAGAAAGCTTCAGCATTCTAACAAGGAAAAAACACCATTACACAAAATCCCGAACAAGAGCTCCAACATAAGAGAGCTTCAAGAGGAAGCTACACTTCCTCAGTTCACTAAAAGGATGTCAAGAGCGGCCCGTGATGCATGGGTCCAAGTGGAGCGGTGAATGTGGGCACTGAAAGGCACTACAGCTATATGACGGCTACCATAGTAATGACAGGTTGGTAGGAAGACACCACAGAGGTTCTGCAAGGCAACGGCTATATCGCTTCTATCTTAGGGAGTGAAATCAAATCTGATCTGATTCCTAGTGGCTGCATGGCGACACAGCTGGTCAGGACTGTGGCCTCACAGCAGGAAGTTTGACACCTGGCCGGGGCATTTCTATGTGATTGATGTCCTCTCAAAAGTGGGTTTTACGTTGGGTTCCTTCCACAGTTCAGGGCCATGCATGCTTCATTTACTGGTGGCTGTCTCTGAGTGGTTGTTGGGTTCCCATTGGCCTGGGACAGACTGGTTACCAGTAACATCTCATCTCTACCAATGCCTGTAGGCATCAGAAACTGCTACACCTGGACAGAAACAAGTGGGAAAAGGGATGGATGGATGAAAGAATGGATGGATGGATATGTGGATGGACAATGGATGGATGGACAGATGGTTGATTAAATAAATAGATGGATGGATGGATGGATGGATGGATGGATGGATGGATGGATGGACGGATGGTTACATAAATGGATGGATGGATGGATGGATGGATGGACGGATGGTTACATAAATGGATGGATGGATGGACAGATGGTTACATAAATGGATGGATGGATGGATGGATGGATGGATGGATGGATGGATGGATGGATAAATGGACGGATGGTTACATAAATGGATGGATGGATGGATGGACAGATGGTAACATGGATGGATGGATGGATGGATGGATGGATGGATGGACAATGGATGGATGGACAGATGGTTGATTAAATAAATAGATGGATGGATGGATGGATGGATGGTTACATAAATGGATGGAAGGATGGATGGATGGATGGATGGACAGATGGTTACATAAATGGATGGATGGATGGATGGATGGATGGACAGATGGTTACATAAATGGACGGATGGTTACATAAATGGATGGATGGATGGATGGATGGATGGATGGATAAATGGACGGATGGTTACATAAATGGATGGATGGATGGATGGATGGACGGATGGTTACATAAATGGATGGATGGATGGACAGATGGTTACATAAATGGATGGATGGATGGATGGATGATTAAATAAATAGATGGATGGATGGATGGATGGACAGATGATTAAATAAATAGATGGATGGATGGATGGATGGATGGATGGATGGATGGACGGATGGTTACATAAATGGATGGATGGATGATCATTTGCAAAACTAGTGTTGAAGAATTGTGGATGACTGTGAAAAGATAAAAAGTTGTTATTGGTAAACATTTTCTGTTTGTTCTAATTGAAATGAAGCAGGTTGTTTCCACATCTGTATTTTGGTTCCTGGTCTTCCTCCAGTCTCTCTTCCCAAACCGGTTCAGGATGCAGACTTTGGCCTTGACACAATGAGCTCAACCTTCCTTTACTTTTTCCATTTGCTCCTGGTTACATAGATTCGATCCATCTCGTGGGAAATGATTGCTATTTGAGCTAAATATTGACTCAGTTGGAATAGGGAGGAGGAAATTAACAAACACAAACAACCTCTGCAGGGAGATGTGCTGACATTATCTTCCTCTCATCTCACGCTAATCCAGAAGCATACTTTATCGATACACCTCATTGTCAGGAGCTGGAGGAGCATGAGGTTTGATGGTTTGGGTCACAGTGACGGCATCGGGATGTTAGCAGCAGAGTCTCTAAAGACAGATCTTTACAATCCTGCAGCAGCATGCAATTAACAAGCAGAGGTTGTTCACTGATGAATCTGCTGGTATTATCTTCCATGCATGTTATTCCTAATCTTTGTTCATAATTCATTAGCTCTTAACCCCATTTAGAGAATGTATCACACAGCGATGGCGCCAGTGGGATTTATAGATGTCTGTCTTGTAAAGATGTTATCATCCCTCACGTTAAGAGACTCTGCTCTGGTGTGCTGACTTGCTAAAGACACACACACACACACACACACACACACACACACACACACACACACACACACACACACACACACACACACACACTCACACACACACACACACACACACACACACACACACACACACACACACACACACACACACACACACACACACACACACACACACACACATGTCTGTATATATGTGTGAGATGGAAGGATGGAAGAATATCCATCCATCCATTCTTTCATCCATCCATATATATATATATATATATATATATATATATATATATATATATACATACATACATACATATATATATATATATATATATATATATATATATATATATATATATATATACATACATACATACATACATACATACATATATATATATATATATATATATATATATATATATATATATATATATATATATATATATATATATATAAAGTAACTTTAATCATCCCAATCAGAGCCTTCTCATCCTCTGCCTCTTCTTCCCTCCTCATCCTCCTTTGTCCAATAGGAAGTCATTTGTTTCTGTGTTTGTTGCAGATTGATTGCCATTCAACACCTCTAACAGCACACAGCAGCAGCTCATTGATTATGGTTTTTGCTACACAAACACAGTGACTAGAGAGAAGAGGAGCAGAGAGTTCACAACAGAAAAAGATGGGAATGGGGATAAATGGGAAACTAAGGGGAACAATGGAGAGGGGCATCACTGGGAGAAGAAAGGAGGAAGAATAATAGAGATGGGAAATCTGGTCCTGATGTTGCCAACAAGGCACTCACTGCTCAGGTTGAGTGAGAGTTTATTGACTTGCCACACATTGACATTTCTGCTCTTTGTTCTCTGCATAATGAAGTTGGGAGTGGGTGGGGTTCGATAGGGTTCCTACCAACTATGATTTCACTACTTTTGCTTTACTACGCTGCATCCTGGTCATGCTGCCTTCAGACATTTGGTTCTTCTGAAAAGGTTTAAACCTAATGGTCAAAATTCTGCACTGAAATGTGGCCGATCCTCCCTGAAGGAGGTCAGGGTCAGATGCAGATCAGCACATGAGGGACACGGAGACTTTGCCCGGGACCAGTTCTGATCCAGTGCTGTCTAACACAAGCTCCATTTCTGTCCCAGTAGTCAGCCAGCCTGCCACCCACAGGGAACGTGTCCTGTAGTTAGTTTTTTTACTCATTTGTTTGACATTTTTTTATACAAGAAAATAAAAAAAGAGGCAGAGCAGCAAAAGAGGTACAGCTTCCAGCTAACACGCCCTCAACAGGCTCGACATCACACCACAAATAAATAAGCTGCGTGTAATTAACAGGCTGTCGCTTTCAGTGATTACTTCACATCTGGTGGCTGCTACCTACAGATGTGATGTCGTCAGCTTCTCAGTCAGATCCATCATGGACTTGGCCCTTCAGGATCCAAAAAGGAAATCACTGTAACGGCAACCGGACGTGAGATCTGTTCACTGGAGGCTTCAGTTGTGGGTCTTCCTGGGGGAAATCTGGTGGAACGTTCCTGGAAAACCTCCAGATGGAGGTGATCAGGATGCATTCTAACCAGAAACCCGAGCCACATCAGCTGACTCTTTCTGGTGAGAAGGAGCAGCAGATCTGCTCTGAGCTCCACCTGGATGAAGGCGTTGCTAACCTTACCTCGAAAGCTGAGCCCTCCACCACACAGAGAAACCCAACTTTTCCATGCCCATACACTTTCCTCTGTTTGTTTGAGGTTCTTATTTTATTTATTTCTCCCTGTTCTCTCAGTGGCTGTTTTCCACTCCAGCAGATCCATCAAGCCACCGGGACTGGTTGCCATCTGCTCAACAAAAAACAAAAAAAGAAAGAAAGAAAAGAAAAGAAGAGAAAAAGATTACACATCAAGCAAAGTGTGCATACAGCTTTTTATAAAGCAGCAGCACATCAGGAGTGTTGGAGGGGTCAGTGCTTTCAAAAAGAGCTAAGTCTCCCTCCCTCTGACACAGGAAGTAGTTCCTCCCTGCCAGCGGTCCCTGAGGTCTGGGCACAACACCCAGCTCAGCTGTGCTTAAAGCATGAAATCTCCTCCCTCTCATTCTGCTGTAATGTTCTGATTTTGTAGCACCATAAACATATAGAAGACTCAACATATCTGCATTAATGTTGTAAGAGGTCTGTGGGGTTTTAAACATGGGGAAGAGAAAGTAGCACAGCCGTGGAGGTGGTTGTGTAAAGCTTGGTTTATGCTTGACGCATTTACTTTCCGCTTGGTGACGCGGCTCGCGGATGGAACGCGCTTAACAACTCGCAGCGTTTATTGTTCATGCGGCTTGTCTCTGCGGTGAGCCAATATTCTCCCAAACTATAGGGGGCAGCTTGGAGCTCTACGGCATGCATCCAACTCTACACCACAGTAAAAGTAGAAATTCCTGTTGTTTACATCATGGCATTCCAGCATTTTTTAACAGCGTCCTCGTCTTTTCCGACAGTGCGAGCTATTTCTCTCCAAGAATTATTAACATGTTGATCACGGTGATCTCTGAGCTGAATCATACAAATGTCTGTATTTGCGAACCTCTGCCATACTAGTTCTTGCCAGTCCGCCATGTTTTTCCACGTCCAACCGTCCACGTGGTTAGAAAATTTCCTAGGTGCGCGCTGCGGAAATTTTGGGCCGTGCGGAGGCGCGGTGGAGGGGCGTGGTTGTTAAAATGACGCAATTTT